AAAGTTTTTGACTTTCTACTACTTCATCTTGATACACAAAAAATGTGGGAATCTTTCCAAGAAAGGAAGGAAGTAATCAATTTGAAAATAAGTAACTCTATACATGGATGTGTGGATCATGCAAAAATTAATCACTCCTAAAAATATAACCCCTTCAGTTTAAATAATTTGTATTTTCAGCTATTCATTTTTTAATTCTTCTCTTTTAGGTGTCTCAGTGATTTCAAATCACTTTATAGATTAGACAATGGAAGTCCGAACTGGTGAAATTCATCATGAAACATTGTCAATCACTTTCAAACAAACGTATCATATTGTATGTTACCTAAACTTGAGATTGATTTTGTCTTAACTACTTGTGTGCGGCTGGATAAATATGTCGTGAACCATAAATGTGCTTCATTTCGAAATCCGTAACGGTGAAGCTTCCGCAGCAGTATCTCATGATTCACGCAGTCGAAAGCCTACGATAAATCACAAAATACAGCCGCGGCAACTCCCCCATCATTGATCCCATTGATAAGTAAGAAGTAAGTTGGGTCAAACTGAAAAAATGCAATTCCTCACCATCACTCCTAGACAAGACGTCACTCCTAGACAGAGCATTAGGAAGAAACCAATAACTCAACCCTGGCGTAGTGTTCCGACAATAAATTCCAATACTAATATGGTCGTACAGAAAAAAATGAGTCAGAGGACACTTTGGCTCATATCGCACATTCCAATTATATCCTTTCCGTATAGAGGAGAGAAATAATAATCAATTTTCAATGTATCCGACATGTGAAAGTTAATTCGGTATTGATTCGGAAAGCACGCAAGAATTAGGGTATGTTTTGCTAAAGTAATGAAATTGTTGTTGGCGAAGACATCAGAAACTTTGGATACATTATGAATGATTAATCTGAGTGACCTTCATTCAGTTTGTTATGAATCATATTTATTTTCCAAAAATAAATGTGGAAACTCACTCTGATATTTCAGGTGTCTCTCATATTTTAAGTCTTTCAATCGAAATTGGATATATTTATCTAAAAAAGTTTATATCTCTATTCATCATTTCTTTTTCGAATATTATTCATAATCATCCTAATCAACGCACAGAATTTTTCAAGTGGGAAAGATACTTCTTCGAGTGATATTAATTTAATTCAGGAATGAACATTTTCAGTCCTGAAGCTCTACTATCTTATTCCCAAAACTACGAACCGTTGGAGTTTCAAGAGACCATGAATTAGGTCATCTTATAGGAATATATGCACTACGGTTTATGGAGAGTCGAAACTTTTGTCAGAAGTTGGATTTCTGAATGAAATATGTTCAGAATTATGTTGTTTGTGTACCATCTCTTGGGTGGATTGCAGTAGAACATTCTCATCAAATGGAAGCTGCGGCAAGTCACATCACTTAGAGATGATGTTGCTCAGAAGTTACTATTTCATTCCGATTGTTTTTCAAAATTGATTTATTATACGCCTGGAAAATTGATGACGAATTGATGGAAACTGAATTGCTTCGAAATAAAAAAGCCAGAAGTTGAACGTCTGGGCNTTACACTAGTTATGGCATTTTAAGGACGCAAATATAATAGACCTGCGAAGTGTTGATCAGTTGACCGATGTTTCAAAGTATTTAATGAACTGGTTTCCCTTATTCGCTCGTACATCTTATCGATATGCAGAAGCTATCTTATTACGGGGGGCAAATTTTCTGGAATCATTTTATTTTTCAATTATTCACAATGGCGATGCATAGACAATAAAAATGTTGTTGCCGTTAGCTCTCAGTTCAATTTGTATATGAGTTACCTTCAATTGAAAATTGTTATACTATAGACCCTCATGGTATGAAATATTTGCATTAAATTTTGAACAACACTCGTATAATGATTTTGATCACCTTACACAACAAAATAATCAGAAGCATTCATGAATGTTGATTTCAAATATGGTAATTAATAAAACTAACAGATTCATGATTTACGATGTTTGGAACCACCATTAAACTCATATGAGAGACCATGAATTAGGTCATCTTATAGGAATATATGCACTACGGTTTATGGAGAGTCGAAACTTTTGTCAGAAGTTGGATTTCTGAATGAAATATGTTCAGAATTATGTTGTTTGTGTACCATCTCTTGGGTGGATTGCAGTAGAACATTCTCATCAAATGGAAGCTGCGGCAAGTCACATCACTTAGAGATGATGTTGCTCAGAAGTTACTATTTCATTCCGATTGTTTTTCAAAATTGATTTATTATACGCCTGGAAAATTGATGACGAATTGATGGAAACTGAATTGCTTCGAAATAAAAAAGCCAGAAGTTGAACGTCTGGGCTGATATTTTTGAAAATTTTTTTCTGAAAATTCAAAAGATGATAAGCACCTGGATATACTCCAAAATTTTATCGACCCATCTCTTACTGATGTCAAGAAAAGTATCCTCTTTGTACTGAAAAGAAGATGGTGCTCATCTATATTATTCACAAAACGTGTGTAATTTTTTAGGCTGCAGGTTTCAATATCGCTTGGTAGGACAAAGGGGGATACAAATGAATGATCTCTTCCATCACCCGACTCAAGTAATTTGGATTTTTGTAATGTCGAAAAAGCGAAGAGTATCACATTTCACATGACTCATTGGATGACCTACGAGAACGAATAATGTATGTATGTAAAATGTATGTCGCGAAATGACACCCAAATTGATTCAATATGTACAATGGTGGTTTGAAAATAATCAATCGAGTGATCACCTTCAAAATATTTTCGAAGGTATTACTCCTCGTCAGTGCAAGACGTATCCAACCGAGTTCCGACTGACTTCATCGTTGATTCACCGCAAACATGAAACCTAACTGAAAAATGAAAACTTCACTGAAGTTATGGAAGGAACAAAAACTGAACATTTATCCGAGTTGATAAATGATAATACAATATGTAACTTGATCTTAACAGCTACATTAAAATTGGACAGAACTTTCCATGGGCGAAAAAGTTGATTTAGAGGCCTCCCATGGACCTCTTTGTTTTCTATTGTACATGAATGACTTGCCTAACTTTATCAAAGAAGGTAGGTTGTTCATATATGTAATTCTAATAGTAGTAGTAACCCCTGTAACTCCAATAGTAAATACAGGGGTTACTTTCCAAGTAGTTTCCATAAAAACTGACAATGTTATTGGAGATTTTGTACTCTGGTGTAATATCAACCAGTTAATAATTCAGAGAAAACAAAATACTTGCAATTTCAATGGCCGGTGAAGAAATTAATATCGAAATAGAAGATTTTAAAGTATTTATAAGCCTGAACTATAAATTTATTGGCACTATAATTGATATATATGGTGAATATTTCTCAAAAATTAATTTATTCATCAATTTCTATTTTGTCCTCTTCAAAGTAGCCCCCTCAGATATACAACACCCGTGCCCGCGTTTNATATTTGCATTAAATTTTGAACAACACTCGTATAATGATTTTGATCACCTTACACAACAAAATAATCAGAAGCATTCATGAATGTTGATTTCAAATATGGTAATTAATAAAACTAACAGATTCATGATTTACGATGTTTGGAACCACCATTAAACTTATATGAACCAAACCATTTTTTGGACATGAATTTACTTTACTCAAAATCAGCTGTTTTATTCATTCTGTTGAAAATAATAGAATGAAATCAAACTTGAATTCAATTTGAATTGGACATTTTCACAGTCATACCCTAAGACTAACCGAATGAGTGACAAAAATCAAGTTACAAACAAATCACGATAGGCTTATTATATATGATTCAATTCCAGAGGAAATAAAAAAGCACTCTTTCATTACGAAATTTAAATATCAATTGGAAGAAACCCAATTTTCATAGTTTGCATTTTTTTTTCTTTCACACTCGAATTCATTTTCAACATGTACTCTCTGAAAACAATTTCATATTTGACTGCATTTCATTGTTATTTTTTCTCAAGATATGTTATGTGTCTATAGAAGAGTATCAAATTTCTGTTATTTCCTTATATTCTGTAGTTATTTATAATCCCTAATTATAAGCATTCATTGTGTCTTGGGACACTAAACTGAATCGAATTGAAATTTAATTGAAAATCAATGATGATGCTGATGAATTGTTCCTTTGTGCAGGACAACGTACCGCCCCCATTGAGGGATGAACTAGTCATAGACAGGCTATCAGCGGTTCAAATTAAACCGTCCCATGATGCTTTGAAGAAGGAGTCCCAAGATCTGGAAGCACAGATACGCCAAATTCAAGACGCTCTGGATACATTAGTCCGCATTCAGCAGAGATCGGTGGAGGCATCGCTATACAATAAAGCGAATGAACTTCAGGAGGATATCTCTATGAAGAGGTTCGATTTAAGGGTAGCTCAAATCCATCTCAGTGCTATCAACTCCCAAGTAAGTTATGTCGAAAACTATTTGAATAATGATGTGATGAATGATAGATACTGAAGTTTCTCACGGTTCAATGAATCGAGATAATATTATTGGGAGAATTTGTAGGTGGAAGTAATAATTGTTATAGATTTACAGAAATAGCTTATTTGAGAAAATAAATAGTTGGCGTTGAGAAATCTAACCAATCATTTCACATCATTTTGATTAATTTTGTGTTATGTAACACCTTGTTCACACCACTGTTTGATATTCATCTAGAAATACTCCAGATTTCAATTGCAACTAGAGAAACTCAGGACACTGCTCATTCCTGAATACAAGTCTTCTATTTTGAATCGCATCTTCTCATACAAAGCAANCAAAAACTTTGAATGTTTGATTATTTCTTCAATATCATTGATGAATATATTGAACAAGAAAGGGCCTAAGTGGCTTCCTTGTGGCACTCCTGACGTGACGTAAATCTCCTCAGATATGAAACTCTTGACTTTTACATATTGATTTCTATCTCGAAGATAGCTTGCAAACCAATTCAATAAATCTCCGTAAAACCCTATCGCTTTAAGTTTCCCGAGCAATACTGTATGATTAACTGTGTCGAATGCCTTTGAAAAGTCTGTATAGATTACGTCCACTTGGTACTTTTGTTCCAAGGCATTCAGCACAAATTGAGTTAACGTTAACAAATTTGTGGTTGTTGATTTACCCAGGCAAAAACCGTGTTGTTCTTGTATAATGACTTGGTTCAATGGATTCTTTATTTGATCACATATCAAACTCTCTAATAATTTTGGGATTGCACTTAGAATTGTGATCGGTCTATAATTTTTTATATTTGCTTTATCCCCCGACTTGAATATTGGGGTAATAAAACTAGATTTCCACGAGCGTGGAAATTGTCCTAAATTCAGTGATGCAGTAAATAGTAGAAACAAAGGTTTTGCCAAGGTAAATCTACATTTCTTTAATAATAAAGGAGCTATTCCGTCAGGTCCCGGACCTTTGTTCGGGTCTAATTGGTATAATTTATTCAATATGGTTTCCAAGCTGAAGTTACAGGAATTCATATTGATAGTTTTTTCGTAACTGAATTCAAATAAATGAGTACCATCAGTGTCTTGTTTGTAGACTGATTGGAACTGTCGTGCAAAGCCATTAGCAATTTCATTTCCTGTTATACATGATTGTTCCCCCAAGTACATTGTGTCCGGAAAGCCATGATTTTTCCTCTTAGAGCCCGATTCAGTTGGCGGTTATTACTAACATTTTTACTGTTGCACATAATAATGAGAAAATCATTTGAACCCATACATGAAATTTTTTTTGTTATATTGCAATATTTCATGATGAAATGTGTGAAATCTATCGAAAACAAAACAACTCATTTGTATTCTCAATTAGAAAAGCTCTGTATTGCAAAATCAAATTATTCAAATATCAGACTGAAACTCATTTGCATCCAGATTCGCATCGCTGAAAGACTACCGACAGACACGAACACCTGGAACATGGTAAACAAAGATTAATCTCTCGTGGTTGAACTTATGAATACACGATGCAACACAATTTCACTTCAGTTGCGTTCCGCTGTCAGCAACATTTGAATTCATAATTCATAACTAAGAGTCTATATATTTCAGTACACAAAAATCTTCTTCAAGCAATAGTCTCGTTGAGGGAATCAAATATTTTTCACTACCACTTCTGGATATGATATTATATTTCCATCAATATGTAGGTATAAAAAACATAGGTCCAGAGTGACTGGCTGTATTTAACCCTCTACTGCAATCTGAGAGGTTCAATTTTGGCGCATGCCTGTTCAATCTCAACTAGAAGAATCCAGCTTCTCAAGGGAACCGATCACTTTCTATTGTGAGTGATGTATCAAAATTGGGAATCTGCCTAACGTTGAAAACCTGTGAAAATATATGAAAATATAACATGTACTGTACTTCAAACAGCGATTAAAGAGTTTTTCGGTTCTCCTACAACATTTCCTTTTTCTGTAGTGAACCCTGGCCAAAAATTTTCATTTTCTTGTCAGGAACTAGTTATTTTGCGGACGCAGAATCATGCAGCTGCTGTTTCGTAAGAATATATTATCTTTCCCTCCAACCGATTTCGTAGAGTCTTTGAAGTCCACTAGATACTCGTTACATAGATACAAGTCTATCTTGTCTATCTCGTCTTGTGTTTGTAAGTCTTTCGTGCAAAGCTTATTGTTAAATCATCTGAAAATGGAATTTTCAACAGATGATGATCGGCTGTTTTGCCAAACATGTGTCAAACTAACTGACTGTTATAAGGAAACAAGTATAGCTGAGGCACCTGTCAAACTAATGATAACATTAATGATCTTCAAACAAGACTCAACCTCTGACGGAAGCAAGAAACTCTTTCGAATGTTCGAAATAGATGAACATTTCAATCTAGCAGATCACTATTATAATATTCATGCAGTCATTGTTCACTGTGGTTCTGGCGTTGAATTTGGTCTTTATTAAGCCTTGGTCAAAGACGAAACGGACTGGTTTAAGTTTGACAATAGTCGTGTCACGAAGTGTTCTGGCGATGCATTGAATTTATTGGAACCTCTGGAGACACCCTACATTTTGTTTCATAAGAGAGAGGACATTGTTAGATCAAGATATTTAGATGATGTGGTGCTGCAGGTTTTTCCGGGTTTTCCTGCAGCTGAGAAAACAAATGCGCCACTGGAATCAATGAAGTCACCCCAGAGCGCCAATTAATTTTTATTGTTGTTTTTATTTCCATTGCTGTTTTATAGATCAAGGATGTAACTTTTCAGAATTATATATTCAAATTATTTTAAAAGTTTTAACTCACGTGTTTTCATTATGTAGGCAAGTGGGAAATTATTTAAAGGTTCCAAATATGAACAAACTGCATGTGATTGCCATGAGTTCTTTGTTTGTTTTCTTTATTGGACATTCACGTGGCATTTTTCTTTGTCACGCTATTTTATATAGGTTGCGTGCGTTATCACGTTATTAAACATTCGGTAACGTGCCATATCATATTTTCGATGAAACAATTCAAAATTATGGGTAATGAGTTTTCGATGAAATGATATGATATAATGCCGAGTATTTGATAACTCACTTTCCTTTTTATCCATTAGCAGATTTTTGTGCAGGAGTATTATAATTCTGCAATGAGAAACGTACATCACAAAAATATCACCATAGGTACGGTATTTTAATCTCAATAACGATTAAATTGAAACCTTTGGTGTGAAAGTTGAATAACTTTTTTCGAGATCGATTGCCCTAACACCAACACTTTATATACTGAAATTTGTTACCTGAGGTTGTATACCTGAAGTCCAATATGGAATTTCTCGGTAATTAACTACCTGCAAGTTCTTAGTAATTATTCTCTTCCTGACAGAAGATTAAAAAGCGGGCTAAACGGGATGGGTCCCTTATCGCCATT